ATGTAAATACAATACAAATTAAACAAAGATTTAGAATAATTATCATTTTGATCCATACATTAGTAATGTGTGACCGAGCCTCGTGTCACTTTGTGTTCAACAAATTGGGCCCCGAGGTCAAAAAGGTTAAGAACCCCTGACCTGCTGGGGTGTTCAGATATGTCATTTTGTCTTTTGTTTCTGAAATAAAACTGTGTCTTGAGACTTTTGACTCAGTCTGTATTTACAACACAGTAACACAATACACAGTGCTGGCAAACACAATTTGTATTTGAAATCAAAATATTCAAGAGTGCACGTTAATGTATTGACACCACTTAGAGCTAATTATCAGTTACAACATGAAACAAAATCCATGCTTACTACGGGTTAAAATAAAGCTTCAGCTCCCTAAACGAGACCCTCAAACACATCTTTTACTCTGTTCTTAATAGCTGCAGCTGCTTTACATCAATTAGAAAGCAGATAGCGAAGCAAACCCGCATCCTAAATCCTGAATCCACAGCTGAGCCACACAGGTTAGAGTGAAAGGGTGCAGATCAACACAAACCCCCTGTCACACATTCAGCCCTACAACAAACACATGAACACAYAATCCTACCAATAGCAGCAGCTTATTATCCCTGGTAGTCACCTGAATTAAAAGGAATAAAAAATTGGGGGGTAAAACACACACATCTGCACACATTTGTGAAACTGGACTTGTAAAACAAAACAAAACAAAAACAAAAAAAAAAGACAGCTGAAGTAGGTACCTGGGTTGCTGGAGGCGTCGATGTATTGCACGTCCTCGGRGGTGTCAGGAGACTGGGGAGGAGAAGATGATGATGATGATGAGCACCAGAGAGAGATGGCAACATGTTGCAGTAACCTGTGTCCCAGGAGGAAGCCTCCACCGTGCCACAGCCTGCCAGAAGCCGTGTCAGTCACAGGCAGCCGGAGCCACAAAAACACAGAACATCTACTCTACAACACTCCCCACTCCCACCAACCAGCTTTACTTGTTACACAGGGAAGGGTCTTATTACCACTCACAGGGGCTGATATGCAGGATAAAGACATCCACAGAGAAACAGCAAACAGAGACATCAGCATCACCATCAGACAACAGGAGGAGTAGTGAGTTCAGGTATCTGCTGCACTTTGATCTTTTTTATCCCTTATTTAAACAAACTCACTTAAGAGGACAACAAATATAAGCTTTAATTAGGCTTGTCGCAACAAGCAATAAATCAATCGCACAATAAAATTAAATAAGGTTAATCATTTTTATTTGCTTGCTTGTTTTCTTCATGTCTGCCTATTTTTTTTACTCCTCACTGTAAAGAGGAGTAAACTCTGGCATCAGCGTCTTCAGTTTTCTGACACCTTCTTTCAGCCGGCGACACAGAGTTATATTTTTTGCACTATGTAAATTTCGTAAACTTCGTAAACATCATGAGGGTGATCGCAATTATTTAATGAAGCCAGAGGAAGACATAAAGAATAATATGTTATAATAAAGTATAGTTGTTGTGAAGCCTGGCCCTTGCCTTCCTACGCAGCTCCGCTCAATTCTAGTTTCCCTTCACTGCTCCGTCTGGGTCTTCTCCCATTGAGAAGGATTTCGCTGGCAGATTTTTAACCGAACCAATCAGAGAACAGAACGTCAATTTTCTCCGCAGTGTCTGCTTGTAGTTTATTTTACCTGGGCCAATCAGAGAACAGAAGGAGGAGTTTTGAAT